GTTCACTGTGCACTCACACCACAGATCTCAAACATCGTTTTCCACCTGCAGTCTGACGTGCTCAGCGTGCTGACACTAGGTGGCGCTATGGGAACAGCCTCACTGTCCAGGAAGTCCGGTGCAGGGTTATCATCGGTTGTTTTTACACGCTCCTCAGAGGGCCACGCCACCGCTCTGACTAAGAGCGTGCCGTTAACGGCTGACCTCCTTACATGCAGGTGGCACTGACTCGCTGCACCCTGTGGGACAAACACAGGAGGGTCCGACTCCAGGCCTCGAGGGCCGGTGTCCTGCAGATCTCACCCTGGGTCAGCACACCTGAATCACATGATTAGTTCATCACCAGGCCTCTGGAGACCTTCAAGACATGTAAGGAGGTCATCATTTAGCCTGCAGGACGCAGGCCCTCGAGGCCTGGAGTCGGACCCTCCTGATCTGACAAGTTTCCTTCTCAGTCTGCTGACAGCTTTAGGCTACGTCCACACGTATTTTTGAAAACTGAGATTTTCTGTTCTCGTTTTAAAAAATAAAATAAAAAAAACCCATCCACAGACGCAAAAATGAAGCAAAACGCTGCTATGAACATGCCAAAGCAACAGGTGGCGATATATTCCTAACCGTGTTGGCCAATCAGAGGCCTAGAAGCCTGGGTGGGAAAGCGTAAACAAAGACGGGGCATAGAAGCAGAACAGAGTGCTGTTTGTAGAGGCACAGTAACTGTGTAAGCATGTAAACACTGCAGAGAGTAAAATTAACAGCATTTTGTCCACGTCCGCCACTGTAGAAGTTCTCAATCTAACGGTGTTCACAGCCGACTCTGAAGTACGCTGTGGACGCTTGTGTTTACGCAAAGCTAAGCTAACCGCGGCCGGACTTCCTGCACAGTGTGGACTGTTCCTTTAACTTTGAGAGCTGCAGTGTTAATATGAAAGCCTGCAAATGCAACACTGTTTACCTGAAGCTCCTGGCTCATACAGTATTTACACCCCAGTGCTACATAAAGGTACATACTGGCAAACAGAACCGAGGCACAGAAAACAAGGACAATAACCAAGGTGCAAAAATACGTA